TTCACCCCCCACTGGGAGCAAACTGCTATCCCGATTTTCCTGTTATCCATCTCCCTGCTTTTCATTTTAGTTTTGAGATATGTCGGTATAAAGAACACATTCTTTGATTTTGAAGAACCCAAGAGCAAGCACAAAGCTAGGTGTGTAGGAATGGTCAAGACAGCCCCGCATGAAGATCGGAGACTGGACTGCCCTCCTGCAAGTTGTGGAAACCCTTTCTGGTGGAAGTCGGTGCACAGTCAGGAGCATGTCTAGGGAAATGTAGAACTCACCGGGTTTGAGGCACTGGCAAGGCTGTATTGTGGGCCAGAAGGAATATGGTCAGTGGGTCATTGTGTCTGAACTCCCACTCACTGGACTCGAACAGAGCAAAGCAGAACCCTTCTGTGGGTTATATATATGTGTGTGTGTGTGTGTGTGTGTGTGTGTGTGTGTGTGTAGGACTATCCTGGGCATACCCAGGTGGTAGGATTCTGAGGGGACAGGCACAGGGTCCAGACAATTCAAGTAAAATACGAGCCTGACTGTCTCACTCTTTGATCTGATGCTGGTTGATCATACCCCAATTCTTCTCCTCTGACTCTCATTTTATTCACATAGGCCCAAATGATGCTTCTTCTCTAAAGTAATCCACATTTGTTTGACAAATTTATACTGTGAGGTGTCCAATTTTTAGACGCTGTTTGATTTATATTTATCACTAAATCCTTCCATTATCCTTGGGTTTTAGGTATAATTGCTCCCATTTTAAAAGTGAAAAGACTATTGCCCAGGAGGTCTTTGTAAGTGACCTAGGGTTGAGGAGCTAGTAAGTGACAGTGGCTGAGATTTGTGCTCTGGTCTTCTGACTTCAGACTCCGAACTTGCCCAGAGCACCGTGCCTGCTTCATTCTCCCTGTTGTCTCCGGTTTGGCTCTGCCAGCTGGAGAGCTTTCTGGTCCGAATGCCTGCCTTGTCCAACTCCTTATTTGGGTTTCACAGGACAGTGAGATTGTCTTTGCTCTTCTTGGTCTTTTGATCTGTATCATTTGGAGAATTGGATAAGCAAGTACTAAGAAAGTCTGTTGAGATTCTGATCGGAATTGCGCTGAGTTTATGCATCCATTTGAAGTGTCTTTACAAAACTGAGTCCTCCCTTCTATGGACATGGTGTATGTATTTCTATTTATTCATTTATTCGTAAACATTTCCCAGTAATTTTCTTAATGTCTTTTTTTTTTTTAAAGATTTTATTCATTTATTTGGCAGAGAGAGACACAGCAAGAGAGGGAACACAAGCAGGGGGAGTGGGAGAGGGAGAAGCAGGCTTCCCACTGAGCAGGGAGCCCGATGTGGGGCTCGATTCCAGGACCCTGGGACCATGACCTGAGCTGACACTTAACGACTGGGCCACCCAGGCGCCCTTTCTTAATGCCTTGAATATATAGATTTGGTCATAAGTAACTCACGGTTTCATTGCTATTGTAAATGGCTTCTCTAAGAAGTTATTTTCTCTTTTTTTTAAAATCAGTAAGGAATTAATTTTTCTCATGTACACATATTAAAAGGTGAGCAATCCAGGGCTGGTTTGGCCCATGCAGTTATGCTATAGAAGGCACAGGCTCCTTGGGGCTTCCTTTGCACCGTCTCCAGCCCATGGATAGTACCCTTCTGGCTACAAGATGGCTCCCCCAGCTGGAGGTACAGGTTCCTGCTTCCAGGACGGAACGGATGAAATGGGAGAAGGAAGACAAGAGTGCCTGCGGGATCGACCACAGTGGCTTCTTCATCTGTAGGAATGCTCTCTGCCTCAAAGTCTGATTTTAACAGAGCTGTAGCAACTTATTTGTTATATAACAAAAATATTTGTATTATATATACAATATGTAATTGTTATGTCCTCTTACTGTCAAAATCTTTCCATACCTTGTAAACAGCGTATGGATGAATTTTATAAAAATGCAGTCTATCTTTGCATTTTAAGGGGATTATTTAGTCCATTTGTACTTATTGCAAATACTCATATAACTTAATTTATAGCCTTTCTATCATCTGCTTTCTATTTGTTTTGCCTTTTTAAAAATTTTTTATTGTTATGTTAATCACCATACATGACATCATTAGTTTTGGATGTAGTGTTCCCTGATTCATTGTTTGTGCATAACACCCAGGGCTCCATGCAGAACGTGCCCTCTTTAATACCCATCACCAGGCTAACCCATCCCCCACCCCCCTCCCCTCTAGAAC